GCTTTTTAAAGCTTTTGTATAAAAAGCTTTTTAAAGCTTTTGTATAAAAAACTATTTAAAGCTTTTGAATAAAAAGCTTTTTATAGCTTTTGTATAAAAAGCTGTTTAAAACTTTTGTATAAAAAGCTTTTTAAAGCTTTTACATAAAAAACTTTTAAAGCTTTTGTCTAACAAGCTTTTTAAAAGTTTTGTGAATCTATTTGTAACAAAAGTTCTTTTTTAATTTTGTGTAAACTCATTTTTCAAAGCTTTTGTATAAAACATTTAAAAGCTTTTGCATAGAAAGCTTTTTAAGAGCTTTTGTGTAAAAAAGTTCTTTTTTAATTTTGTCAGAAATTCTTTTAAAGCTTTTTCTTATTTATAGACACATTTCAACAAAACGTTTATTCTTATTATACAGTTTTCCTTAAAACATTTATATGTCGATTATGTTGTGATAGTTTTTTTAAAAGCTATATAGAAAGCTTTTTCAAAAAATAAAATAATCAACTTTTTTTAATTCTTTTTATCTAAACACTTTTTAAAACTACTTTTTGTAAGAATCTTTTTTTTTGTAAAGAACTTGTTTTGAAAAAGCTTTTTTGTAGAAAGCTTTCTACTTTCACTTATGTAAAGAAACTTTTTTCCAAAGCTTTTTAGATTATTAAAAATTTTGTTTAAAATTTTTTAAAATTCTGTATGAACAAAATTTTTGGAAAATTATTTTTTTAAAGAAAGCTTTTTAAAAGAAAGAAATATAAAGTTTTTTTTAAAAAAAAGCTTTTTGTTGAATATTTTTTTTTGTGATTTTAAACTCTTTTAAAAAATGTTTCATTTAAAAAGTGTTTTTCATAAAAAGCTTCCTTCTAATAGTTATTTATAAAAAGCTTTATCAAAAATATTTTTTAGATATTTGTAATTAGAAATGGTTTTTGAAAAAGCTTTTCATTTAAATATTTATTTTTATTAATATAATTTAAAAACTAAATTCAAAAGCTTTTTAACAAAAAAACATAAAGTTTGTACTTTTTACGAACAATTGTTCTTATTATATGTAGAAGCTTAGCACATGAAATATTTCTCTGAAAAAAGCTCTTTTAATGAAATGAAGTATTTGGAATAAAAGTATATTACATACATTTTTAAAAAGCTTTTCTAGAAAATATTATATTTTTTTAAATTATGAAAGAGCTAATTTCGTGAAAATACTTCTTCTCTTTCAAAATAGTTTCATTCAAAATTTCTCACGGACAGACATGAAAAGCTTAAAAACCATAAATAATTCAATCGAAATCATTATTTCTTCAATCGTTTAATGTGTTGAGAATAACTTCGCGAACGCAAAAAGGTATTTTGAAAAGACTTTGCTCCTACTCCAAACCATAAATGGCCCTTTAAGTTCTCTTTTCAAACCTTCAGTTACAATTCACACACAAATTTTCCAAATTCTTTTCAACACAGAATCCCATACACACTCGCTAGCCAGCAATTGTAACTTTAAATTACACGTACATTTTATGCCACAAGAGGCTGGAAAGTTGAGAAGAAAAAAAAAACAACCATAACAATTTGTAATTCAAACTTAATATCTACAACTACTACAATTTCTTACACGGCTAGTAGAATCCTCTTCCCTTGGCACTAACCATAAGAAACTACAAATATTCTATTAAACTATAAAAGGCCTCCTGGACAGAGGAACCAATGAACGGACGGACAGACAGACAGACGAATAAATGTATGAAACACAATGATTAACACAATAACCATTTATGACAACAAACAGCCATCCAAGAGTCCATTGTCATTACAATAAACTGAAAATGAGTGAACTATAAGAATTTAACAGAATTCAAAACTGATTAATATTACAACGAAATTAAATAAAACCAGGAGTATGTGCGCAGAACTTATAAAGGCAACTGTGGACATTACTGGACAATGGACGATAACAACTACTACCAATGACGACGATGATGTGTGCCTTGTAAGAAGCAATAGATGAAGCAGAAGACAATTTTCTGTGTTTTTTTATAACCGACTTAAAATAAACATTCTTCATTTGATACTTGCACTCTAGAGTACTTTTCCCTTTATTTTCCGTAAATAGAAAAAGGGACATTGAAACTAAAGTAAGCAGCCGATGAAAACAGAACGCAATGCAACTAGAACTAAGCTTATGGACAACAAGCTGTTAAGTTAAGGAAAATAAATATGTATTTCGTAGTAGCTGTTGAAAATGTGGATAGTAAAACACACTCAGCAAATCTTTAGAGGATTTTGAAAAAAGTTTTTACTTTATTAAAACAAAAAAGCTTTTGGTACATTTACTTAATTATATTTTGCTCTTAAAGCTTTTTGAAGTTTAAGTCTTATTTAAGAAGAATGTACTGAAAAAAAATACATTAAATTTTGTTTACTATAAAAGCTTTTACTAAAAATTTTAAAAAAAGCCCTTTATTGAAATTTTTTGTTACACAATGTTTTTACCTAAAAACAGTTTATTAAATATTTTTACGCTTTCATCTTTTGAAAGTTTTTTACAATGTTTTATCTCTGTAAAAGCTTTTTACAAGAAATTATGTGTTTTTTCTTAAATTTCGTTTAAAAATGCTTTTTTTTTAACCGTGATTTATTATAAAAGGCTTTTTTACTTTACAGCTTTTTTAAAGCTTTCACTAAAAAGTTTTTTATAAAATAAATTTACTAAAAAAGTTCATGTTTTACTATGAAAGTTTTCTTATATTAATAAATGTTTTATTAACAATTTTTTACTAAGAAAGCTTTCAGACTTTTTACTAAGAAAGCTTTTTCAAATCAAATCTTTAATTATAAAAGGGGGTTAATAAAAAGGCTTTTCCTTAAAAAAAAATTTAATAAAAAAGTTTTTTATAAAAAAATATGTATTCCATATTGTGAAGCTTTTAATGAAAGAACTTTTTACATTAAAACGTTTGTATTAAACATTCTTTACTAAAAAGCTTTTGGTTCTTTACGTAGAAAGCTTTTAATGAAAAATACTTAAAAAAGCTTTTCATATAACACAACGCTTTCTTTGCTAAAACTAACTTTTGAATAAGAAAGTTTTTTATTAAAAAGGTTTTGCAAACACATTCTTCTTAATTCTATATTAAGAAAATTTTAAAATAAAAAATGTTTATTAGAAAAGTTTTGTAATAAAAATGTTTTACTAAAAAGCTTTTAGTTCTTTAATTAGAAAGCTTTTTATGATTTTTTTTTAAAAAGCTTTTTTATTAAATAGAAGTTTACTAGAAAAGCTTTTCATAAAAAAGATTTTTACTACAAAAGCTTTCCTTAAAGTAACATGTTTACTAAAACCGTTTTCTGTAAAGCATTTTTTAATAAAAATCATTTAATAAATCAAGTTTCCATAGAAAAAGCTTTTCCACAATATTCCTCTTAAAAGCTTTTTACTCGAAAAGCTCTTTTCTAAAAGACTTTTTACTAAAATCACTTTTCACCAAAAAAATGCTTAAATCCCTTTCCACAAAAAAGCTTTCGGCATAACATTTCTCTTACTATTTGCCACTACTGTAGCCATATTTAAGTAATAAGCCCTTTTCCGTAACAACCTTCTTATTTACGACTTTGCCAGCATTTTTGTTGTCTCGTGTCTTTATGGTAAATGCTGTACATAGATTGTTCAAACTTAAAACTTTTTGTTCTTACTATTATTGTAGTCCTTATTGTTATTAAAGTTTCGTTAGTTGTTTATAATTTTTTGCTCTCCATTTACTACAAAAGCTTTCACTAAAACAAGATGTTTACTAAAACCGTTTACTGTAAAGCTTTTTTTACTCGAAAAGCTCTTTTCTAAAAGACTTTTTAATAAAATCACTTTTCACAAAAAAATGCTTAAATCCCTTTCCACAAAAAAGCTTTCGCCACAATATTTCTCTCACTGTTTCCCACTTCTGCCGCCATATTTACCTAATAAGCCCTTTTCTGTAACAACCTTCTTATTTACGACTTAGGCAGCTTTCTTGTTGTCTCTGCTGCTGGACTCTATCTCCTTAGCTGTTTGTTGTCGTTGCACTCATTCATTTTTGTATGCTGCAAGCATCATCTAACTTTAGCAACAAATTAATTTATGGTAAATGCTGTACATAGAATGTTTAAACTTAAAACTTTTTTGTTGTTATTATTGTTAAAGTTTCGTTATTTATTTATCATTTTTTTGCACTCTATTACACAAACATGCTTGATGATTTTATACCATTTAAAGAAAGCATGTGTTGCAAATAAAAGAAATAGAGAAAAAAATTGTGTAAGAAACTACATAAGTGTCGGCTAAGGCGAAACTGTAGTACCCTTTAAAGACAGTTATTAATACACCGTTTTGGTAAATTTTACGAAAGCTTTATGAATTTTAGCTGCAGAATATAGTTCCAGATGAATTAACTAACTGACCCTAACTATATGGACCGATTTCAAAACTTATATGTAATTCGTAATAGAAGAAGTTGGAAAATATGGTAAAGGTATGAAAAATGCTTTTCCTCAATATGTAGTGGAAAGGGAAGTCTAGGTTTTCACTTGGTTGTATAAACTTATTGCAAGCTTTAACATCTTTCTAATTTATTTATATAAATAAGTAATAAAGATATGTTTTTGAATTGATAAGTTTTGACTAAATGTATGATAAGATAAGAGAGCACTATCACTTGAAAAATTGAGCGGAGAATTGATCTTGTTACTGCGAGCAAATATCTAAAATAATGACAAGTTTTTGAATAAAATCCTGTCTTTACTATATAATTTCCACAACTTTTTTTTCTATTGCCATGTAATATTTACTTTACTTTGCAATATTACGTGGCATTGCAACATTTTGTCTCCACTATTATGTTGACTTTAGTAATTTACTTTTACATTTTATGTCTACATGTTGTATGTGGTTCTTATGTATGTATTTTTCCATTATACACTTGATTTAATATTATTTCTTTTTTCCAACTATTTATATCTGTTTTATAACTCTGTCTTCTATTTTATTTCAGAGTACACCAGTGGGTACAACAATATTTCGTAATATACAGGCGCTGGATAAGGATGCCGGTGTTAATGGCCTGGTCGAGTACTTTATTGTTGAGGGTTCTACAAATACTACAGAAGATGAAAAGATGACAATTGCTGATGGTTATGGCACGTTTGCCATATCATTTCCCCATCAAGGCCAGGTGAGTATAGACTAAACTAATAAACAAACACATACACCATTGTAAATGATCAATAAGAGATTTTTCTGATACTGTCAATAATCATGATGATAATGATGAGTTAGAGCTGGATGGTGATGATGATTTAGACAACATCATATTTAAGTTTTATGTACAAGTCCTTATGCATTTGTTAGTATTTTAGTTAAGACAAGTTAACATAATGCAACTGCTTGAATGGCTGCTAACTTTGCCTACACTTAGAGAAAAAGTATAGTGATCGTTTTAACTATATTTAAATAATAAATAAATATAATATGCTTGTGACAACTATAGTGACTACATGTATGATCTAAACGTACCTTAGCCTTACCTTATGAATGTATATGAGGTGATAACCATTATACTAAGTCCCTTTCGTGGTGCATCCAATAGGAGCTCCTTCACTTTCTCTACTATCCATAAGAACGGCAACTCTGAAACTTATTTAGAATGTTAAAGTTTAATTTAGGTGGCTTTTCATAATTTCCAAGCATGGAGACCACAGTGAAGATGGCGTCCTCTTGATCGATGTTCTTTCTTGAAGCGACTCCGAGGACTCATTGTTGAATATAATGGCCATCCAACAAGAGTGTTTAGCAGATTTGGATACCCTGGCCTGGTATGTTAGTATTATCGATCCTAAGGAACTTCAATATATTCTCTGGAATCTTCAGCTCTAGGACAGTGTGAGATTTTGTCCACAGCGAAATCCAACTTCGCTCTATCAATTAATTCGCTAAGCAATCCAAAATATCAATCAAACAGGTCATTCGACAGCCAACCGCTATACCCACCAGCTTCATTGGACTGAGGGGGTTCCCGGGGTTCTACCACTACTGAGTAATCAAACTTTTAACAATGATTACACTAGCTCAGATCCTTGACATCTTTGAATATTACAGCAAACCCCTGCTGCTATATGTTGTTAAACGAATGGCACTAAACTAGAAGAAGGAACTAGTTTTGGGATCTACATTGACTACCCCGAAAACGAGATATATTACCGCCTACCTTAGCACAACACTAGCTTCCAAACAGAAGTCCGTTCTCTTCTTAAATCTAAGAAAGCACTCTAAAAGTGTCATAACTGGACACTTGGAATTATGGAGAGGTGCATACAACCATTAAAATCATATGAGGTCATGCAAATGATGGGAGGACGAATGTAGAGCATGCGAAGAGTATAGTAAAACGCTGAGACACTTTCTTTGTTATTTCCTGTCACTCATCGAAATTGGAACATAATATCTTTCCCGATGTTATTCATGGAATTTGTTTTAATAATTTCATAATGATTACTATAATGATATCTAACTATATTTTTTTCTAAGTGTACTGCTTCTTCTACAAATATTGCCCAGAATAAGGTTTCATAAGTAGTGCTTGTTTATGACATAAAGAAGGGACAATAAGTTGAATAACTAAATGTGGTTGTAGTCTTTTTTTCCACAAACCTGTTATAAATGTCTTTTAACTACAGAAATCAGCATGAAAAAAGGTAGCCATAGATTTTAAGACAAAAAGCTGATTGTAGAAGAATTATATGCAAGATGAAAATTAATCAAAATCAATTTGCCATAAAAATAGATCACCCAACTTAGGCTCCTTCCACAATATTATAAATTGTTAAGAAGCTGTAGCTTCACTTAAGACTATAAAGAACTCTTGGAATGATTGTTTGTAGAAAAAGAAAATGTGGTGCGTTAACTTTATAGCAAACACTACTGCTGACAAAAGAAACAAATAAAAAAAATCTCTAGAAAAACAAATCAATCAATTTCAATTATATTGATTGAATGTATAGAATCTTAACGTTCTTTTCTACAACAACATTAACATCTGTCAGTTAGGTCGAAAACAAAAAGATCGCAGTAAGGAGATCTTAAACTACATTTTATTATTAACACCCGGTAATCTATTAAATGAAATCTTTATGGTTAAGAAAAACAACTTCAAATTATTAGCCTGAAAGTAATAAAGTGTTAACATAACATTCCATTTGGCCATAAATAGATTCTTTGTGTTTTTTTTTTGTATATTTTTTGTTTGCAGCCTTTAAATGATGGACCTCATTCAGTCAATTGGAAATTAAGATATAGAATTGTTATAGTTGTTTAGTGCTTTTTTTCTTTCTCACTTTTAAAATTATAGAGTGATTTAATTGATTTTTAAAAATAGTCAAATGTAGTTTTGCAAAATAATTGTTTTGAAATAATCTTAAGGTCTGATCTGTTAGTGAAAAATTAATGGAAAGCTAACAACTGTTTTCGAAATCCGTTCAACATTTACATATTTATTGGCGTTTGAAGTTGGAAGTATTCTCCTGAATACAATATATACATAACTTTAATTCTGACTCGAATTGAGAACTACTCGATGAAATATAATATTGTTTCGTTCACGTCTGTGCGATTTTAGATCTCCGCATCTTCCGCAATTCGCTTTAAAACCCAAAAATTTTCTAAATAACTTCTTACATACGGATCTCTTGTATGGTGGACTTCAACTAAGAAAAAATTTATTGTAGATCAGCTATACAAAGTTCAGAGATCTGAATGTAGGTGCACTAAGAACTAATCCTTCAGTTGGAGATCAAGAACATATAGACACGCTAAGATTTTAAACCTATAACCTCCAATATTGAACCAACCATCCGACTACATTAGCCCACACACGGACTTTGATAGAGTTTTCATAGTCTGAGTTCCTGCCAGGAGTGAGTGGTGTAGGGGTAACCTACCGAGCGAATATAACACCAGAATCTTAACAGATGGTTCTACAATGAACTGCGGTGTTGGTTCTGATGTATTCTGTGAAGAAGCTGGGATAAGTATATATCGTCTTCCCAAAAACTGTAGTATCTTTCAGGCTGAAATATTTGCGATAATCTCAGCCTGTAGGGTACTACATGACCTCAATATTCACGTCAACATAGGAATTTTTGTCAATAGTCACTTCAGCGGCACTTCTCTCACTAAATTCTTATACCCACTTATCTTATACTACCACTTCCCTATTCGTTAGACAATGTAAGAAGGATCTGTCGAGGCTGGGTCGCCTGTCTGACATTACCCTTGTTTGGGTCCCTGCGCATAGGGACTATTATGGATATGAACAGGCAGATGAGCTTGTCAGAACGGGATCTGCACTTGGTATCTCCAACGCCGTTTCAGTGGCAACTCCGTTAGGCTTTATCAAGGGCAGTATCCTCAGATTCTTTCTTCAAAAGGCTGAAAATAGGTAGAATAACCAAGACACATGTAAAGGGGCCAATTTGTTATGGCCCTCCTTTAATGGGAAACGCACAAGACACCTTATAAACCGAAGTAGGCGAGATATATCGATATTAACAGCAGTAATAACAGGACGCTGGGTGCTAGACAGACATGCAAGTCGTCTTGGGCTCCCCGTCAATGAACACTGTCGCAGTTGCAAAGACAGGGAAATGAGAAAACGGTCTTCCATCTTCTCTGAGAATGCCCTGCTCTAGCCGTTGAGAGAAACCGTTGTCTTGGCAGTTACTTCATATCTAACCTTGGTGAGATATCTGGGTCTAAGCTTAATGATATCCTGAGATTTCTCACGGCCAGAGGCTGGATCTAATACTATACAATACTCTCTCGACTCTAATTGACTGTTCGCGCGCAGTGAACTATCACGTTAACCAACCAACCAACCAATCCTTGAAAGATCGTTATTGCTTCTCGATCGGATCTTTAATTTAAAATCGAAATTCCATTGAAATAATCTACCTTGGGCTGAGTCAATTTATACATATTCTCAAGTTGACATTGTAGAGATGACTATGTTCTGAATAATAAATTTCAAGCAGATCTCTGATATGTCATCTTCTGTTTTATTAATACTTTTTGTTCTCTGACGATCTCAAAAGATCATCCTGACATTTTTATCAAGTCAAGACCCCCAACTGACCTTATATAAACATAAGCTTTTTTGTGTTTCCTTTCGACTTTCAGTCGACACTAAACGAAGCCATTCACTATTTTCTTCTGGAACCCTATAATACCTACATATACATATATATATCTTTGATCGGTTGAAAGCAACAAAAGGTCCCAGATATCAAAATAACATTTTGGATATGAATCTTAGAAATTCGATTAAAAATAGTCAACAGTGCAATTTACTACAACCTAAGGCTAAAAATAATGGTCGTAAACCCAGATTAAATTATACCAATAGAAATCAGAATATTTTTCTAAATCAATTAAGCCATGTCCGTCTGTCCATGTTTAAACTATATTCAAACAACTGGTCGAAATTTTTTAAATTAGATGAAATTCGGTACACATAATACATAGGTGGACCAAGTAGGACCTCTGTTTTGGTTAAAATCGGTAAATTTGTTCGCTTATCCTCATAGAACTTTCCGCCACGAACTTATATTAATTCTGTGAATTATGATAAAAATCGAGCAACTTTTAACCCTAGACCCAAAAAATGACCCCCCCAAAAAGTACCTTTACCAAATTTTATGAGTATCGGTCCACATTTGACCATAGCTCCCATATAATCCTTTTATCGGAAAATCACTTTGTCAAATGATATATTATGCATATAGGCGCTGTGGGTTATTTTTAAATCGGGCATGATCAACAATATCAAAGGTCATAAATGCCTAATCTGTTCTGAAATTGAAATTAAATGCAACAAAACTAAGTTCCATATTCATAAGACCTAGGTCCCATACGTTAACTCGCATAAAATATTTATATTGAACTAAAATTCAACACGATTTACTTTATTGTGTAACGAAGTCATATTATAGAATTTTTCTAATGTATATATATGTGTAGGATATTATATAGTCGGACTTATCCTACCCCCACTTTAGTGTGAAGAGTATTATGCGTTTGTACTGATGTTTGTTACACCCAAAAATATTGGTCCTAAAATATACCAATCGGCTCAGAATCTTTCTGAGACGGTTCTACATATGCTTAAGCGCCTTCAACTTTAATACTTTATTATTTAAAATAATTTAAATTTTGTACATACTATTCACTGATGTAGGGTATCACATGGTCGGCCGACTATACATTCTTACTTGTTTTTATATGTATTTTTCTATCGATAAATTAAATATATATTTTTTAACCTAAAATTTCATGACCTAAAAATACACAATCCTTTTATTATCAAACATTTTTGACATCTTTCAAAGATTCCGTATAATTTTTTGGATTACATAACAAAGTATAAAATACATTTAAAATCAATAATGAATTTTTAATTCTTATAAATGCATTTATAAACTTGTTATAAACACAAAACACAAAAAAACTTAAAAACAGAATTTTTGCGTTGGTGGAATTTTGCTACAAACATAAAACAGCCCCAATTAAAACTCCTGCTGATCGCGCTATTGACAGAGGCGACACTCTGACAATACAGCTGTGTTTTCATATGAAATGAATTTTTCCAATTTCATTTTTAAAAAAAAATAAAAGATTTTTCTATATTTGATAAGCTAATACATCAATCAATTGTGTGGTTTATGTTTTGACGCTTTTGACAATAAATTCCTTAAATGATTGATGATTGAAGTGTTCACAAACAGCTAAAAGCTTAAAAGAAAAAAAAGACATTAAACTAAAAGCTCCTGTTATACCGCAGCAGCTATGCAGCCAGTCAATGCCAAAACCATACCACAAGTTTAAAAGATATCATCATGATTGTTTTTTGATCATTTCAGTGTTTTTTTGTTTCAGTTTTGTATTTGTTTGTTAAGAGTCATATATCTTTTGTATATACATACAGAGATACATACACACATACATATTTGTTGAATTTCTTCCTTTTAAACTTTTGATGTCTTTTATTTTTTTCTGTTTCCTTTCAATTTTTTCACAGGTTACTGTTGCTAAAACATTGGATTACGAGAAAATACAACGTTACTATTTGACAATTGTCGCATCGGTAAGTCAAAGTCATGATCATATATAATACAAAAATAAAAAAAAAACAAGAAATAAACTTTTAAAATCCAACCAACAAACAAACAATTGTTTGTTAAAAAAATTGCAGGAAAACTATTTCTTAAGAAAAATGTCTTACTTTCTGAACCCCCACTATAAAGAAAAAGCTTAAAGACAGTTTAACACAGTGGCTAACAAAATAGTCAATAGATTTGTTTTAAATTTAATCTAAATGATTTAAAAATCTTGTTTATGGTGCAAAATTGACAAACACTGTTGTAGAGCAAAAGAAATCAATTGTTTTTTTCTTAGCAGTTTGTGCATTTTTAAGCCATCAAATCAAGTCAATTCAATGCCAGTAACAGTAGTAGCAGTTTGAAATGTACAATGTTAAATTTTTTCTTCATGGTTTTTACAAATTCACTTCCTGGATTAATTTGCCATAAAGCAACGCAAAAGCATAAATCTCAGGGTTTATTTAACTTTTGTTCTGTATGTGTTCCTAGTATTTGGTTCTTTTTTTCTGCAGCAAGCAGCAAACAATTCACTTGTAATCAAACAACAAAATACTGTTTCCACAATTGGTTCTACATATGCTTAAGCGCCTTCAAAAGATATTTCTTTTTCCTTTTAGACTTTTTTGTTTTACACAAAAACAAGCCTAAATATGGTAAACTTTGGACACATGTATTTAGCGGAGAGACATGTGAATAGAGTGGGACTAAAAAGTTCTAGAAGCCCTTAAAACAAATGCAGAAAGATGCTTAAACCATTAAGCTCAATTATATTTCCTTCCAAAATCGGGAAAGCCTAAAATTAATACAAAAACAAATTCTTTAACCAAACATTTGTCTACAAAATTTAAACCCAGTAACTCGATGCTTTAGATAACAAGAACTTCGTAATGCTCTAGAACATTGATATTTATTTCTATATTGTGAAATGTAGTCTAATCTTTAGTCTGGTCTTTAGTCTTGACTACAGTATAGTCTACAGTCTGGAATATATTATGGTCTTAGTCTGGGCTATAATTTAGTCTATATTCTATTTTGTAGTTTAGTGTATTGTCTGGAATGTAGTTCTAGTCTATTGTCTGGAAACAGTATAATTCATAGTCTAGTCTATAGTCTAGTCTATAGTCTAGTCTATAGTCTAGTCTATAGTCTAGTCTATAGTCTAGTCTATAGTCTAGTCTATAGTCTAGTCTATAGTCTAGTCTATAGTCTAGTCTATAGTCTAGTCTATAGTCTAGTCTATAGTCTAGTCTATAGTCTAGTCTATAGTCTAGTCTATAGTCTAGTCTATAGTCTAGTCTATAGTCTAGTCTATAGTCTAGTCTATAGTCTAGTCTATAGTCTAGTCTATAGTCTAGTCTATAGTCTAGTCTATAGTCTAGTCTATAGTCTAGTCTATAGTCTAGTCTATAGTCTAGTCTATAGTCTAGTCTATAGTCTAGTCTATAGTCTAGTCTATAGTCTAGTCTATAGTCTAGTCTATAGTCTAGTCTATAGTCTAGTCTATAGTCTACTAGTCTATAGTCTAGTCTATAGTCTAGTCTATAGTCTAGTCTATAGTCTAGTCTATAGTCTAGTCTATAGTCTAGTCTATAGTCTAGTCTATCTAGTCTATAGTCTAGTCTATAGTCTAGTCTATAGTCTAGTCTATAGTCTAGTCTATAGTCTAGTCTATAGTCTAGTCTATAGTCTAGTCTATAGTCTAGTCTATAGTCTAGTCTATAGTCTAGTCTATAGTCTAGTCTATAGTCTAGTCTATAGTCTAGTCTATAGTCTAGTCTATAGTCTAGTCTATAGTCTAGTCTATAGTCTAGTCTATAGTCTAGTCTATAGTCTAGTCTATAGTCTAGTCTATAGTCTAGTCTATAGTCTAGTCTATAGTCTAGTCTATAGTCTAGTCTATAGTCTAGTCTATAGTCTAGTCTATAGTCTAGTCTATAGTCTAGTCTATAGTCTAGTCTATAGTCTAGTCTATAGTCTAGTCTATAGTCTAGTCTATAGTCTAGTCTATAGTCTAGTCTATAGTCTAGTCTATAGTCTAGTCTATAGTCTAGTCTATAGTCTAGTCTATAGTCTAGTCTATAGTCTAGTCTATAGTCTAGTCTATAGTCTAGTCTATAGTCTAGTCTATAGTCTAGTCTATAGTCTAGTCTATAGTCTAGTCTATAGTCTAGTCTATAGTCTAGTCTATAGTCTAGTCTATAGTCTAGTCTATAGTCTAGTCTATAGTCTAGTCTATAGTCTAGTCTATAGTCTAGTCTATAGTCTAGTCTATAGTCTAGTCTATAGTCTAGTCTATAGTCTAGTCTATAGTCTAGTCTATAGTCTAGTCTATAGTCTAGTCTATAGTCTAGTCTATAGTCTAGTCTATAGTCTAGTCTATCTATAGTCTAGTCTATAGTCTAGTCTATAGTCTAGTCTATAGTCTAGTCTATAGTCTAGTCTATAGTCTAGTCTATATTCTAGTCTATAGTCTAGTCTATAGTCTAGTCTATATTCTAGTCTATAGTCTAGTCTATAGTCTAGTCTATATTCTAGTCTATAGTCTAGTCTATATTCTAGTCTATAGTAAAAAATGCTGATTTACCGCAAAAAAAATAGTATTTGTGGCATAAAACCAAAAACAAGGCAACAAGGTAGATCGAAATGTCTTTAATATGTTATTTGAACAAAATACAGTTTTTGTGGAACAATTGCTGTAGAACAGTGATGGGTAACGCACATACATATGTTTAATAATTTGAACTTGTGTGTGAAGCAATAGAATATTTTAAAATGTTTTTTGCTTAAGCTCGCATATGAAAGATTTGTAAAAAGCTTGTAATAGTATTCATTTATTTTGTATTAAACAACAAATTGTTGTTGATACTACGAATATTTTCTTCATTTGTTATGCTCACAGAGTTTTCATGGCTACCACTGCCCTACAGTTCTCATGAAAAAATTAAGTAACCGAATATACTACAGACTACTATATACAACCTGAACTATAGTATGAACTGTAATCTATATAGTCTATAGACTGAACTAAAGTCTATAGTCTGCAATATATTCATGACTATATTCTAGTCCATAGTCTGGATTATAGTCTAGACTATAATCTGTCTGAACTTAACTATAGTTAAGTTTATTGCAGTCTAGTTATTGACTTCCCAACTTGAAATCTTTATAAAAAGAAAATCTTTACTAAGACAAACTTTCGATCAGAACTAGTTACAAGTTCTGCATGTTTTTTAGACATGTGTACCAATATAAAAATGTCTGTATTTTCTCTAAAGCCACCAATGCAAACCATCTATTTTTATTATTACAATATTTTTTCAACTTTTTCTTATATTTCATCCTTTTGCTCTTGTTGTCATTGTTGTTTACTTTTAAGTTTTTTTTTCTATTTTATGCCAGCTTTCTTATAAAGCGACAAAAGTAATAAATTTTATTTGTTTTTAAATAATATTTTCTTTTATGGGCAACTTTTTTCATGTCATTTTATATGCAATGCGTTATGCCAAGAGTTCTGTTGGTTTTGTTCTGAAGTTTAACTTTACTCTGGACTTATGTTGCGTTTAAAGGATTTATTGTGTTTGGCGAAGAAAGTGGGAAATTGTTCATGTTGCAAGTTGACTGCTGTTTGCAAAAAAAAAACACATTTATTTACATAGAATTATTTAAGAGTCAGAACATAACCTTTATGGTATATATTTTTAATGTTTACTGGATTTGGTATGACTACAAACGGTAGCTGTCGAATGTTGTCAACTCTAGGGTGTTCTATTATTATGCAAATTAAACCGACTATTATAAGCAAGTATTTTTTTATTTAAAGAAAATTTATTTTTGGTGCTTATTTTCATATTAACAAATGGAATATGGCTATTCTAAAGAAATACTTAATCAATTCGCATCAAAATTGTAGACTAAAACGAGATCAGTCCTGGATCGAGAATAATAATCAATTTATAATTCGGACTATAATCTAGACTATAAACCGGAATATGTTATCATCTGTATAGTATATACATTATAATTTTAACAATTGTCTAGTCAACATTCTGGTCTATTATTTAGTTTATAGTTTGAACCTTACTTTAGTCTTTAGTCTGCATTCTAGTCTATAATATGGACTATATTCTGCCTAGTCTATAGTTTAGTCAATTGTCTAATCTATAGTCTAGTCTATAGTCTAGTCGATATTCTAGTCAATAGTCTAGTGTATAGTCTAGTCTATAGTCTATTCTATAGTCTAGTCTATAGTCTAGTCTATAGTCTAGTCTATAGTCTAGTCTATAGTCTAGTCTATAGTCTAGTCTATAATCTAGTCTATAGTCTAGTCTATAGTCTAGTCTATAGTCTAGTATATAGTCTAGTATATAGTCTAGTCTAGTCTATAGTCTAGTCGATATTCTAGTCTATAGTCTAGTCTATAGTCTGTAGGCTATAGTCAGTAGTCTAAAGTCTATTATAGTCTATAGTCTAGTCTAGTCTATTAGTCTAGTCTATAGTCTAGTGTATAGTCTAGTCTTATAGTCTAGTCTATAGTCTAGTCTATAGTCTAGTCTATAGTCTAGTCTATAGTCTAGTGTATAGTCTAGTCTATGTTAGTCTATAGTCTAGTCTATAGTCTAGTCTATAGTCTAGTCTATAGTCTAGTCTATAGTCTAGTCTATAGTCTAGTCTATAGTCTAGTCTATATCTAATCTATAGTCTAGTCTATAGTCTAGTCTATAGTCTAGTCTATAGTCTAGTCTATAGTCTAGTCTATAGTCTAGTCTATAGTCTAGTCATAATCTATCTATAGTCTAGTCTATAGTCTAGTCTATAATCCTAATCTATAGTCTAGTCTATAGTCTAGTCTATAGTCTAGTCTATAGTCTAGTCTATAGTCTAGTCCTATAGTCTAGTCTATAGTCTAGTCTATAGTCTAGTCTATAGTCTAGTCTATAGTCTAGTCTATAGTCTAGTCTATAGTCTAGTCTATAGTCTAGTCTAT